TATACTAATTAATGCTCTTCACACTTAGAGATAATTATTGCTAAATGAAATTATTTTTTCATATTATTATGTTCCCAAAGCATCAACTTGTGCAAAGAAGCTATTAGTTGATTTTTCTAGTTCTTGTAACCATAAATAAAATTTCCAAAACATGAATGTTGTTTTGCGCACACATCGCAGTAATTATAAAATGTGTTCTAAAAATTTTAAATGATGAGTAAGAAGAGAGATAAAGCTTTATTGCACTGCTAAAGGCCTCCTGAGCCTAGTGCAAAAAACGGAACGACTCTATCAGTCTTTGTTAGAAAATGACGGATGTTCTAGCGAAGGCACATAGGCGAAAATCAAGAGTTGAGAAAACTGACTTTGAAAGTTCACTCTTGTTTGGAAGTTCACAACATGCCTAAAACACTCAGAATCCTCCTGGGCAGTAATCCTGAGATGCTGTGGCCTTGGCCTCTGTAGAGCGCAACCCAGTTTTGCGCTTCTTTGTCGTGGAACAATGCGCCTTTTGAGCCCTCTTTACCCTTTTGGCATCCTTTTCGGCTGCTCGCCGCAAAAAGCAGTCTCCTGGATTGAAGCCCAGTTGAGCAGTGATCTCTTGCAGCGCACTCTTGCATCCACCATTGAAACGGCAGACTGCATCTGCAACTGCACTTTCCACACTTCGAAGGGAGGCGAACTGGCTCTTGGACTGGAGTGACCAAATGAGGCTGTTCATACTCTCCACAGCGTTCTGGGTTTTTCCCTGCGCACACCTTTCAAGGAGCTCTTTGTTCGAGAGGCGCTTGTAGATTGGCAGCAGTGCCACTCGCACGTGAGGGGGCAGTTTATGTTTGTGAGGCGGCAGCGGCTCTCCCTTGGCCAATGCCTGATTGTGCGGGCACCAGGAGTCAGTCCCACTTGGGCACAGGTTGTGGTGTGGATCCTGGTCTGTGGATGTTACATGGTAATAAGTGGCCATGATGGCCCTCTCCATGCCAGGAACATCGTTGGGGTGGCTCTTAATGGCCCAGCCATAATAATTCGTCAACTTCTTTATCAGGCCCTGCGTCAGCCGGCCTTTGCCACCCATGCTCAGTCCTCGGCCTTTGGATTTGTGCTCATCAAGAAGGTTGCGCAAGGAAGTGCCCATTCTTTTTTTCACATGGTTCACACACTCCTGTTTCTTAATCACCATGTAGCCATACACCTTGTCTTGCGTGAGGGCAAGGTACGTACGGCTGTCACCGTCGCAGAGCACATTGATGTATCGAAGCTTGTACTTGGTAAACGATCTTTCAAACATGATCCTAGCTGCTTCTACTTCCATTTGGCCTGCATTAGCATCGGTGTTCTTTTGGCACTGTGGCTTGTGTTTCTCAAGCCACTCCTCATAGTTGTCGTCACCAGGCTTGGGGCCAACAGCACAGCCTTGGCAGTAGTTGGACAGGACACAGTGGTCCAAGACCAAGCCTGTGTACAGCTCGATTACACAGCCCACGCCAATATGACTTCTGTGCCCCCTCGTCATCCACGTGCCGTCGTAAATGACGTCAATGTTGCCTGGCACTCCTCCTAGGTCCTTGTAAATGTCATGCACCTTCTGTGCACTTTCTGCTTCAATGCGGGTGGCAGCTGATGTGGTGGCAGGGTGGCTGTACTTCCTTTGCAGTCTCTGGTAGGACTTGTGGTGCAGTGCTCGATGCGAAATGTCCATCGCAGAAAAAATGTCATTTATGGCAGATTGTTTTCTGCCAACTGACTGCACAGCCCTCAAAACACGCACGTTTACCTCAAAGGGGTTCGTTTTTTGTTGCCCGGAGCACCTCGGGGACGACCACGCACTGTTCACTCTGCCACAATTGTCACAAAAAAGTTCCATCCTCGCCGCGAGTCCAAGGCAGTGCGTAGTCTCGAGGCGTATCGACCCTTCGTCGCACTTGTTGCACTTTACTGACGAAAGCAGACCGTTCAGCATCTTCTTATTTACAATGAAGAATGTGGAGTCCTTACCGCCGTCATTTTCGTCGCAGCCTTCGTTCAGAAGCTCGAGCTTCCGCTTTGAAGCGGACTTCGATGCTACGGCATCCAAAACATCCCGCCTTGTCTGCGCCCGCTGCGCGATTTCTTCACTGCTCGGAATCTGGGCCGAAACTCGCGATAGAATGTTCGACGCGCGCACGCCCGGAGTTGCAACGGCTGCCGACGCGGTGCCACCGCAATCGGGTTCGCGAGAGCGTCCATCACGGTCGACGGCATCCGGCGGTCTGACATACGACGATGTGGCACCGTCCACACTCTCGGCCTCACAACAATCAGCGAAGGGTCTGAGTAGAGGCTCCGTGACGCTTGAAGAGCATGCTCCGTCCGGAACTGCGACTGGGACGGCAGCCGCAGTCGTCTGCCCTTTGTTCCAAGCTTTCCGACGCTTGCCGTACTTGTGGACGCTCCGGAACTTTTTTTGCGGCAACATAGCACCGCAGTATGAGCAAGCACTCAGAAGAGACCACCGATGTAAACAAAGCTTGGTAAAAAAAGCACGCGAACTATCACAAAAACAGCAAACTGGCAAAAAACGAAGCGCACGCCGGATGATTCTCGACACGGCGGCCGCAGATGCGCTCGCGCTTCCAAGGTTGCCAAGGTGCGCGGCGCAGCTTTGACCAGTAAGAGGTCGCGCCTGCTACCACGTGACCCGCGCAGCCAATTGCCGTTCTTCGTTTTCGTTTTTTTACTTGCTCCTCGCGCTTTTATTTTCACTCGGCGAAATACGAGACCGCGACCATCGGGAAGCCGGCTTTCTCCTCTTTCCAAAGCTACCAAAATGGCGGCCCACGGTCAACAACTTGGCGCGTTTGTGCGGCGTGAACAACACCGTTTCAGGGGCTTTTTTTTCGCACTTTTCGGCGACTAGCCTCGGCAAAAACACTATTTGCGGGATTTGTAGCGCACGTTTCGCTGTAATATTTTAGAACAAGGAAGTTGAAGGTCTGAAGATTACGAAAAAAAATAAATCAGAAAATCGCATATTTTGACCAAAATCGGCACTTTACTTGCCGCGCCCCCCCTTAACAAGACGATCGCTGACAAGCAGGCAATGTACGTCGATGTCGAACACAAGACATGGGACGCCATTTTTCCGTACGTGACTTTCGCATACAACACCGCGGTGCAGGAGACGACGCAGATATCTCCATACAAATTGGTGTATGGAAAGAGCCCGGCAACGACGCTCGATGCCATGTTACCCAATGTCACCGACGAAAAAAACCTCGATGTGAGTGAGTACCTTCAACGCGCCGAAGAAGCCCGACAACTCGCGCGATTCCGTATCAAGAGTCAACAGACGACCGACAGCCGCCATTACAATTTTCGACGACGCTTCGTGGAATACCAGCCCGGTGAACGTGTTTGGGTATGCACGCCGATACGCCGACGTGGACTAAGTGAAAAGCTTCTGCGACGGTACTTCGGACAGTACAGAGTGGTTCGACGTCTCGGCCCACTTGATTACGAGGTTGTCCCCGACGGCATCGCGAACTCTCAATGATGCGGATCGCGACCTGAAGTCATCCATGTCGCACGCCTCAAGCTGTTTCATGCGCGTTAACAAACTGAAACAGTGTTTTTTTTTTCATTATTACTGTATCGTAATTTATTCATTGTACTTTCTTGCATTATTGTTGTACTTCATCTTCAGTTAAAGCATTGGGACGATGCCTTTTCAAGAGGGGGGCAATGCCACGTTCCATTTCTCAAGTTTTGTTATCGCCCCAAAGCACTACACAATTCTCCGCGCAAATCGCACGTGCAGTTTTCGAGAAGCTTCCGGACTTTAGTAGATCATTTCGATAAGATCACGCCCACTCTGCAAACTGTACAGATTATTCTGGAACCTATGCCACCGCCAGCGATAACGCTAGAACATTCCATGGCAAGAGTATAAATGCCGACGCACTTCGCCGCTTGTCAGTAGTTGAGCAACGGCCGACCCTCCGTTCGCTGCTATCAGTCCAAGACTGCTACTGTAATCAGACTTTCCGTTTACCGGGCACAGGTTGGCCCAAATAAACAGTTAAATTCCAACACAAGGTCTCCTGTCTTCGGCCACGTCACGACCCTGTGACGATATTTAAATGCCCAACAAAGTATTTTGGATATTTGTCACTGTCACTTTGATAATTTTATTGTTTCAACAGTGCCAGGCCCGAGACCCGAACATGAGCTGTGAAATCGCTTAGATTTTTACCAACCAAAGGGCACCATAGCATTTTACACTGATTAAATGCACTTCTGTGACTTACTAATGGTAAAACTTACTAATTCTGGCAAAAAGAAAGCGCTAAAGGTATAATTGCACTCTTTGAAAGGCATACATATATACAATAGCATCTACTTCGACATAGTAATTTGTACCTAATACTTTATGCATAGTAATTTGTTGCTACAACTCTATGCATAGTGATTCGTCACTACAATTTCATGCAAAGTGGCATGCATGTACATACTCCTGACTCAATAGCAGAACAAGGCTGACCTGTAAGTCACTTGATAACACTTACATACTATTTACGTACTTATTTACGGAGTGCAGCTAGCAAGCTGATGAGGCTGTAAGCAGGAGTGGGTAATACAAAATACAGAACAAGATTCACATATGAAAGAAATGAAGGCACAACAGGCATTTTCACAACAAGCATGTCCACAACAGGCATATCCACAACTAGCATGTTCGTTTGACTACATAACAATTTGAAGCCAAAGTTGTACAATGAAAGGTCATTTTTAAAATTGATTTTGCTTCCAAATCTAGTTGGCCACATGCTGCACCAGCCACAACATAACGATCACTACGCTTTGCTCAAGCGTAGCTTTTGCTTATGTACTCATGTTTATTCACACTAAATTTTAAGGTACCTTTTACATTACATAGCTTGTGATGCAACATGTATTGAACATGCGATAAAGGCAACACCGCAAGGTTTATCACATAGATGCTAGACAATTGTGATTCTCACTTGAACTTGAGGTTGCCAACCTTCCTGAAGCCGTAGCTCCATGATCCATCTCCCTTTGGTTCCAGTTTGCCGTTGAAGATGTGCTCCCACAGGTATAAGCCTGCACAGTGCATCAAGAAATCGTTGTTTGGCAGAAGCGAAAGCATTTTAGAGGCGCATTGTTTTGGACCAGTCAGTGAGGTGCAGTGAACACTGTTTCATCATTCATCGCAGTCAGCAATGCACACCTGGCTACAGCCAGCCTACAATGCAAGTTAATCTTGTATAGATATGTATTTTCAATTGAGCATATGGGCAAAGTTTGTGAACAGAAAATGTTAGGTGTACACGAGTTTATAAGGTACTTTCATTTTGTAAATTTACTTATCTGAAATCTAGCCTTTCAGTATTCACTTTAGTAAGCTGTATAGTGGCAATGATGTACTATGCACATATATTACATTTATAAGCTGTTTTGTGCAACTAATGACATGTCACAAGGCAGGTCAGCTGTTGGCATTTGCTCAAACAGAGTTGTAAATAGGTACATAAATAAACACGGTATCCAGTAAATTAATGCTTTTTATAATTGCTCTGTATATATCTCTTAAATTTAAAGAATTAAGTGCTAATAGCAATCGTCTGGCTAACATGGCGATCTTCCAATGGGTGATTTACATTCTGGCTTTTCATTGGCGTACACATGCACGTTGAAAAACAAAGGCTGTTCTAAATATTTGTATCAGGGACTGCAAATTTATTAATTAAAAATTGAAAGATGCTCGAACTTTGCCTTCAAAGTAGTAGGCAACAGTAGTACACATGGCCTTCCCAACTGCTAGCCTCGCTTTGCGTCTCAGTGGACACCTAAACCATGCCTTGAGAAAAAGAACGTCTGTGTAACACTGGCCATTTAAAACTTCCCTGCAATGCCTGCTGCAAGTACACTTGCGAAGTGCCCGCTGTGCCACTATTCTTTCTCCAACGAACTTGCGAACTACCCACTACCTGTCTGCAAGGAAAAGCACTAACCTATGCAGCTGCTCACTCTGTTGACGATTTCACTCAGGATGATCATCAAATATGTCCGAGTGCTTTGCAATGGGTCGGCCTTTAAAACAGCCACTCATACAGTTCACATCAGGGGTGTAGCCAGAAATTTTTTTTCAAGGGAGGGGTGCACACCGACCCGACAGGGGGGGAGGACAGGCATCAGCTTTTCTCTGTGACGTCACTATCGGCGGTAGTTTAAACAGATGGTGTACATGTATATCAAGTGTTTAGATTTTCCCTCTCCCCATGCGTAAGGTTGTGAAGAGAGTTAGTAAAAGTATTGTAAGAATAATTGATTGATATGTGGGGTTTACGTCCCGAAACCACCATATGATTATGAGACACGCCATAGTGGAGGGCTCCGGATCTTTAAAGCACCAGGGGTTCTTGAACGTGCACCCAAATCTGAGCCTACGGGCCTAAAGCATTTTCACCTCCATCAAAAAATGAAGCCGCCGCAGTCTGGATTGGATCCCGCACCCTGCGGGTCAGCAGCTGAGTACTTTAGCCATTAGACCACAGCGTCAGGGCAGTACCGTTAGAAGTACTGTAAAATACCATAAACGACAGGTACAGTGATCATTTGGAGCAACGGCCCCTCATCGCCCCATTGAATGGAGTAGTCTTCGAAAACTGATTATTGCGATGACCCCCCCCCCCTTTCAGAGAAGACATCGTGAACCTCTGTTAAGCGTAGATGGCGTAATCCTCGTCGGGACGAAGTGCGTTTCACAAGTCAAGGCCGGTTCGGCTTACTAAGAGGAATGAGAGGTATGCACAGCATGTTTTTGTACATTCATGATTACATTGTGGTCTGCTTGCTCTGCTGAGCGAACTTCTTACTGTCGATGTCTGTGACTGCATGTCTATGGGAATTATTTTTATGTTAATCTCTATATGTCAAGCAGCCTTGACGCAGTGGTAGCTTTTAGTCAACATTTTTTTTACTTTACTGCGTACATCCAAGCATGCTTGCGATATGCAATAGGTAAATTTTTTTTTGTAAGATATGATGCATGCACATTGGCAACACGATTTCGCACACGTTATTTTTCAGGCAGATGTTCAGTTGCACTGTGACTTTTGATAGCAATGAAGTACTTCAATTGTAGAGGTTTCATTGTGCAATCTGTGAGGACAATGTGAATGGTGAGAAATTTTCACTTGGTATCAATTGAAAGTGCATGTGCGACTGGACTATACCTACCCACATAAAACTATCTTGTTCGCTGCGTATATGTGCTAAAACACCTGAATACGTGAAAAAAACATGGAATGTTCTCGTTCTTTTTTCGTAGCTTTCGTCACTTGGCTCCCTGAAACGATAGCGTTGTGACAAGGTGTCTACCAGTATTTGCAAGCATGCAGCCGACATTTCCCTTTACGTCAACAGATTCATAATTGTACAGAATATTTCACCACGTAGCATATGTGCATTCACACTTCTAGCAATTACACCAGCATGAACAGGAGCAGCCTCGCACCACACAAAACCTTCAGTGATGGGTTCACCAGTGATGAAGGAATGAACTACTGGAGTTGTTCAGAGAATAGTGCACCATAATCGATTCCTCAAAAAGCGCGAACTCTGACGATAACTGCCAGCACAAGCACCCCAAGTTTACTTACACTCTACTGTGCCCAGTCTATGCCTGTTCATTGTCTGTTTTGAGCATTCTGATGAGAGTCGCTAGAATTTCAGCTGCTGCCATCGACTCCTTTGCGTTCATTCACGTTTGTGGTATTTCATCACCACGCAACAGAAACTACCAGACTTCCGTATGGGCTCAATCACAAATGTGCGACGTCTCGCGCGCAGAGTAAGATACTGGGCCAGTGCAACCTTACCGGCATCTGAAGGGAAGTGGAGGAAATGTATACACGCGAATCTTTCCGCCAGGCGAGAAACGAGCGCTAGTGTTTAAGGCGAAACTTTACCAGCCGACATGTATCGTCACTAAAGTTCTCATTTCTTGCAATCAGGGTCACTGCCCGAATTTTGCTGAGCGCGTTGCTTCCAAGCAATTCGAAGTCAGCTCCTTGAAATACGCTGCCTACACGTATTGCTATAGGTAGTTCATGTCCTGGGTAGATCAGCGCCCTTCTATGAGACTAGATGGTCGCGCCAAAACACCGTATGATATAACGCTTGATGATTATTTCTTGAAAGGCACCGCTGCTTTCAATGCACACTTGACAACTGTCGAAAATGAGGATGCCGCTTGTCCCAGGTAGGCAGCTTCATCGAAGTAACGTGCCAGTGGCTAGCGCTGAAGAGCACTTTAGGCTTTCAGTTTTTCTAACCTTTTCTGGACTATTTATTATACTAGTTCAATGAGCGCTTTAAAAAGAATTGGCACACCTTGAAGATGCTTTCTTTGCTTCTGCCACAGAACATTCCCGAATCTGCCACTCTTCCCAATGACGAGAAGTTTACTGGCATGTATACTCGAACATTATGTCAACTTTGGCATTGCAAGAGGAGTTAGCAGTATGGGCTGTGAAATGGAAGCGAGAGAAGTGAGAAATGCTGAGCATGTCTACGATTCAAGCGGTTGCCGATTGCCCAGAGGTATTCTTCCAAAACGTGCACCATCTTCTAAAGATTTCGTAACTCTGCCAGTGAGCACAGCTGAAGCAGAAAGCTCTTTTTCATCACTGAGACACCTAAAGTTGTAACTGAGAGCTACAACAACAAATGAAAGATTGTTTGGCATCAGCTCTCTGAACGTCCACCGTGAAATAGAAATTTGCGCGGATGACATTCTTTCTGTTCTTTACCGGGAACATAGATGGCTTCAGCAGATTGTGTGTGTGTATATCACCCATAGGCGCCTGCTAAAAATCAAGGAAGAAAGTTAACTGAAGTGATTTTTGGATTGGGATTTCCTGAACAACAGTAAAAACATAGTTGTTAATGATCAATTGATGGGGTTTAACATCCTAAAACCACGATATGATTACGAGAGACGCCATATTGGACCGCTCTGGAAATTTTACCACATTAATTTAGGCGCATGTTAAAGAACCAAAGTGCACAGGCCTCAATCATTTACGCCTAACATTCGAAAATATGACAGGGATTCGATCTGCTACTTGTGGGTCAGCACTAGAGCACCATAACCATTGGACCACCATGGCGGGTAGTAAAAAAGACGATTTTGGTTAAATCAGTATGCGCTACTTTTCGTCCAGCTGTAAGGAAACAAGCAACTGTATGAGACATATTGCTGAAAATCTCTTTGACAGCATGGTAGAGTGATTTCGTCCTCTCCCGTTGCCTATTCCTTGCTTTTCAGGGACACCTTTCACTTGCAGGCGTGGTTCCCACATACCGAAAGGTGTGAATGGCAATGCAACAATCCAAGTGTGCATGTGGCAATTCTCGCGAATTTTGGGTAACATATGGGGCATATAATATGACATGTAATGCGCAGGATAATCTTCGTGTCAAATGAAAAAGATAATAAACAGTATTCTGCTATGTAATGTGTCTGTTTGCTGCTTGAGACACTGCTTGCACAGAGTTTCTTTCATTTATTGTAAGAAATCATGGTTACTGTGTATACTGCACATAATCTTACACAATAACATGCCCACTCATGTTTCTTCATTCTGTGCATTTCTTGTCGTGCATCATGTCACTAGTTGCAGAAATTGTTCGGTGTGCCCTTCTAGTCATGTCAATGTAAAGAAACAAAGAGATAAAGGGAATCACGTCGTGTCTTTTGCTATATCGCAGCAACGTTTTCGTTCTTCTTGAGTGGCTTCCGTGTTGAGCCGAGCAATTTCCTGGTATTGCGTGGCTCGAGTTGCGAACTCTTCTAATAGGAAAGTACTGGATGGAGCTTGTGCAAAGAATGCCGTGTCGAAGACTAAGGATCCAAATCGTCTATACACAAGAAAGAAAAGGCTGTGGCCAGTTTTTCTTTTTGTTGCGGTATTATATGCGAAGGTGACAAACAGTAAAATATTGTCCCGGTATTTTTTATCCAGACGTAGGTACATGGAGATCATGTCACAGAGCGTTCGGTGAACGTTCTCAGTAAGGCCGTTTGTCTGTGGGTG